GGAATAAAGGGGGGAGAAAGAGAAAAGGGAACAGACGGCTGTACCAACAAAAAGGAGACAAAAAGGGGGGGAGATGTTGGAAAGCGAGTTGGTGCGACGCATACTCGGTTATGGGCAAAGAAACATGGGGTGGCGTTGGAAAAGACCCAAGGGGAAAGGTACGAAGATGGTATGGAAAGGAAAACGGAAGAACCCGAGTACGCGAAAGGAGACTCCTCATTGATGCCTAACCTTAAAAAAGCAAAGCCTCTTAACGTTAGTCGTGTGAATGAGAGGTATGGGAGGGAGGAAACTGTTACCAAGGAACCGGCGTTAGGAATGTGCCTAGTCATGACCGGCCCAACAACGAGGTCAAGAAGCCGTGCGCACACGCTAGTCAAGTTATAAAAGCAACCCCCATGGACTGACATTTTGAGCCCTGAGGACGTCAGCAGATGGCTGACGAAAGCTAGGCGTTTTAATTGTTTTTATTAGTAGTTTTAGTAATTTTAACATTAAACCAAAATTTTTTACCACATTCCCTGGTGCTCGTGTGTTTTTCACTGTTTTAATATGGAATTACCCAGGGATCACATTTTTAAAGAAATTTTTGATATATATATATATATATATATATATATATATATATATATATATATATATATATACACACACACACATATATATACATATATATTTAAATATATATGTCTTCCTCCTCGGGTGTTCGTGAGTATGCTGTACCGCTTCTAGTTGTCCCCCTCCTCTTGAGGCTCCTCATTGCTTGCTCGCACGTTGGGCTTTTTGATCTTCCTTCGCCATTCATCAGTTCTTTTGCTCTTTTTGCACACATACGGGGCCTCACAACATCACTTTCCATCGTGGGTCTCTGTTTTCCTTTCCTATCCACGTCGGTAGAATAATCCGTCTTTCCCCTCATGTTAGCGGGGATCGTGGAGAGAAACGGAGAGTGGTTAGATCCAGGAGGAAGGAAACAGCAACCTCGGAGGGCATTAACACAATAAAGGACGTGGCCCCTTTAAGAAACCAGATGGAGAGAACGGATGGACCGGTAACTAGGTCAAAGAGCCAAGCGCAAAGTCGCCTGGCAGCATAAGAAGGACTCCCAGCAATCTTGCATCATGCTCTGATGATGTCGGTAGTGTTGACCGACGAAAGGCTCAGCTTTTAATTAAACAGTTTTGTTTTTAGTATTATCCTGGTGTTCGGATGAAATTTGGATTCAGTTATATCAGAAGGCAAAGATAACATGGGAAGAGTCCACTAAAATCTAGACTGCAGAATTAGTTAATGTTATCATCTAGATAATATTATCTAGATAAGCACCCTGCATTAGACAGCTGAGAAAGAAACGGAAAAATAGATTGACTAGGTACCAAAATGGCAGTCATTAAATGGTGTAAGTTCAAAGTTAAATTAAAACAGGTATTTTGACATATATTTGACTTTATATCTACTTTGATATTAAAAATGTTCTATGGATATAAAGTTTATAGCAACTTTTAAGGAACCATAAAGCCATCAGACTAGGGATGGTTAGAATAGAGCTAAATGGGAGTCTCTTTTCTGAAAGGAAAGCAATCAGATTAAAGAAGTTGTGAAGAGAGGACCACAGTCTTAATTTGTGTATACTGTGAAGGTTACAAGACAGATTGATTGGGCTGGCTGGGGAGAAAAAGCCAGATATTAATTAGAACATTCCAATAAATTATAGGGCAGACCAAGGCCTTTTTATTGTCACAATAGTAGGTGGGAAGGGGGAGATGTGCTCAAATTAGTTATAAAGAAATGGGATTTTTTTTTTTTAAAAAAGATCCCAAACAGAAAGGACACAGACACCATAGAGGACCTCTTGGATGAAATATCAAAGGAAAAAAGATCCTCCTTTGGTACGGAAGAATTGGAGTGATGAGGACCCTGGAAACAAGGCTGGATCAGTCTTTGAAAACAGCCTGGTGGCCATGAGGACGTTCATCATGCATAATGTGTCTGCGGACATGAATACGCCGGACGCGGTGCTCCCGCCCATCTTCATCATCACCAGCACGGAGGGGGCCTCCGCCTCCACCCGCAACTCCCCCAGTGGCCTCCAGGAGGGCCTTGTCTGGCACCCGTGGTGTCTCATAGATCAGGATGTTCAGCGTTTCTTCAAAGATCCGGGCTTCGGGAAACTCGACCTGTACATCCAGGGAAAGCAGGAGGAAGCAAGTCTAAGCGTCACTATGGGATCCCTGTTCATACTGGAAGCAATGCAATTAGCCTCTAGTAATATGCTCGACACCAATTGCTGAAGAACACAAACTAACTACCACCTTGTGTCCTTCCTGTGAGTTTAAGCATCTTGTTAGCTATTGCAAGAACAGAATTCTAGACTAGCCAGACTTCTAGTTTAGTCTTCTTACATGTTTAATTGGATTTAGGAAAGGAAAATATATAGTATTTTCTTTTAAGATCATAGCTTATATTTCCATATGAAGATACCAAAACATACAGGTAGTCCTCGATTTACAACTCTAATTGAGCTGGAATTACAGTTGTAAGTCATGCTGATTAGGCATGTCATCCGATGACTGACTCAGTTTTATGAGTTTTTTTTTCTATAGTGGTTGTTCAATGAATCACCAAAGTTGTTAAGCAAACCCATTATCCGCAGTGGGCACTGGAAGTAAACACTGTTTTTTGGCAAAAGACGTAAATTGTGGTCATGTGACCACAGAATGCTGCAAAGGGCCATAAATGGGGACCTATTGCTGAGTGTCTAAAATGCAATCTTCTTGTGACTGGGTGGGGGGAGAGAGCAGCTGATAAAACTTTGAATCTGGGTCATAAGTACCTTTTGGGGGGGGGGGCTCCTGTAACTCTGGTCACCAAACGACCAGTCGCAAGTTAAGGACTACCTGTATTAGAAAATCAAAGCTTTGTATTTGGAGTTCTGAGGACTGGCCACACCTTACCTTGGTCTGCTTCTTTTCGGTGGCATAGACGATGGAAGTACAGCAAACCTCCGCAATCTTGCGGCCCTGCCCATAAAATGACCAACAGCAGATCTCATCCCCGAGAACGTCCTTGATGAAAAGCACCCGTCCATTGAACCTCAGAGCTAGTTTGTCAAACAGTTCAATATTCTTCAGTAAGTTGTCATCAGAGTTACTTTGGGGGGTCGGGGGTGGGGGAGAAAGAAGAAAATAGTGGTGTAGAAACTACTAAAGAAATGGGACTAGTGGATGACCTGGGAGATAACAAAAATCCCAAGGTCATCCTATTCTGACAACAGGACCATAGCTTACCTGGTATAGGAATACTTGTTATTACTTCTGTTATGCAGTAACTTCACCACAGGCTAAAAGGAAGGCGAGAGATATAAATGAATTGAAGACCACCACCCCTCTTGTTAAGAGAGACAGCAAAGCAAACTAGACCTTCCCTCATAATGGGGATGGAGAGACTGCATTTACAAGAACTCTTACTTGCCTTGATACCTTGATATATGAGGACATACATCAAAGACACTTAAGTTTGCCTGATCTCTATGATTTCCTGAAGTAAAACCTGTGTGACTTCTCGGCCTCCTTACCTTCGAACATCTTGAGATGATCTGCTGCTCTTCCTTGGGAGATGTCACCATGGGGATATGGCAGAGAGGGTCATAGGCTTCACTTTTTTGCTAGGAAGGAGAGAAACAGAAGTATTTTTCCAGACTTTCTATTCATTATTTACAGATTTATTAAACAGATTCATATATCATGCTAAACATGATTTATGAAATCATGATTTGTTGAATAAGCTATAATTGACTGGGTCCATAAAAGCTGTAAAGCCATAAACCATGGTTTAGAAAACATAACCACTGTGTTTGCACAAGAGCTAAGGCTCAATTAAAGAAATCGTACCACAGTGCAGAGTAATGTGTAAACCAGTGTTTTTCAAACGTGGCAACTTTAAGATGACTGGACTTCAATTCCCAGAATTCCCCAGCTAACATTCAGTCTGGGGATTTCTGGAAGCTGAGGTCCATACATCATACAGTTGCCAAATTTGAAAAACACTGATGTAAACCAAGTCAGTATATGCTCAAGGAAGATTTAGAATTAAAATTAAAGGCATAGAGCAGGCGTGTGAAACCTTTTGGCTTGCCTGAGCTGCATTAAGTGAAGAGGAATTGCCTTGGGTCACGTATAAAATATATAACATAGTTAATGTATATAAATGGACATAATCTTAAATGTTTTATGATTTTGTTGGGCTGAATTACTAGCTGTCCAGGGCTGCACGTGGCTTGTGGGCTGGACACACCTGGCATAGAGTCTAACAGAAATTTTAAAAGGGAACTGCAAGTAACACTTGAAAATTATATGCTTTTTTAATATGGTCAGTTCTCCTTCATAGATACTCAATATAAACATATACAAAAATGGGAGAAAATATGTAATATGAATGCATGTATCCATGCTTTTCATGTAATATCTGGACAATTTTTTTTCTTGGTGATGCAATTTAACCCAAACAGAAAAGAATATGGAAGGGAAAGGATGATTAAAGAATCAATTTCTACACCTTTACATAACTCTTAAAATGTCCCCCTTTACCCTTTTTACATTTCAACCACAATTTTATGAAGTAGGTAAGGTTGAGACAATAGTATTAACTCAAAGTCAATCAGGGTGCTTCCATGACTAAAGGGGGAACCACTTAGCTAGTACCTTCCTCACTATAGCGGCCCAGCTCTCGGGCTGAGAGAAGACTGGCTCAAAGTTACCCAGTGAGCTTCTAGGACTGAGGATGGACTAGAGGTTGGGTCTCCAACTTGCAGTCCAATAACGGAACCACTGCATCACCCTCCGTATATTTGCAAATGAGACGATAATGGCTGGATGATGCTAGAAGACATTGTAAAACACTACTGAGGATAGGACCCAAGTGAAAGCACGTTCTGGTAAAACAGAGGAACCATTGGTCCTTCTAGGTGGACAGGACAGATCCTGCTTTCCTCTCTTGTCATCTCTTCTAAGGAGTGGAAGTCAAGGATGTCATTGGGTCTTCTAATTTCTCAGCCCAGCCACCCTCACCTGTAGTGCAAGCTGGCAGTTCTCAACCAAACCTTGGATCAGATAGTACCGGGCTTCACACAACACTTCCTCCAGCTCCCGCTGGGACTCTGGAAGAGATACTGAGCCATCTCGCAAATAATTCAGAATAGTTCCAAAATGGCGGCCACTTCGGTCAATCAAGATCCAACCTGGAAAAGCAGTTAATTTTAGTCCCTGAGTTAAAGATGCTGTAGACCAGGATTTCCCAATCTTGGCAACTTTAAAATATACAGACTTCAACTCCCAGAATTCAACAGCCAGCCATGCAGGCTGGGGAATTCTAGGTTCACAGGTCTTCAAAGTTGTCAAGGCTGAAAAACCCTTCTGTAGGGTGAAGGATCTACATAGGCAACCTCCCCATTCTAAAATGGCTTAGAGGAGAAGATACAGTTATTATTTGCATTGATACAACATTGTGTTGATGGTAGAAGAATAAGTTCTTGTTTAAATTAATTCTAGGCTTACAATGTACTTTATCTCAAAAAAGAAAATGTAACCTAGACCTAACAAGAATCTTTTTTTATGAATCTACTTTGGATGTTATGCCTTGGCAAGTGGCAGTATTTAGTTGACCTTGTCTGGCCTTGGATGGGATATCTCCAGGAAGTATCAAGCATGGCTGGATGGGGAATTCTGGGAGTTGAAGTCCACACCTCTTAAAAGTTGCTAAGGTTAGAAAAGCCTGCTCTAAAATAAGTCACCCTGAAATTGTCCAAGGGCTCCCTGGGAACCACGCTGGATGAATCCCCAATGCAATCTCCATCATGTAGAAAATCCAATTCCTAGCTGTGGGAGAGATGGGGCAAGCTGAAGCTCATACCTTCACTATCTGTGAGGACTTCCATTCGGCCACTGAACATGGCCTTGAGCATCGTATCTTGCTTGGTCAGGGTCTGCACGGTGGTGTAATGCAGAGATCCTCCCACATTCAGCTTGACGTACTTGCTGTTGGGATTCAGGGGCTTGAGGTCCAAAGTCATCTCGGTTACCCCACCCCTGCCATCCCGTCGGTGCTGGGTTGGGACCAGCAGAGCACAATTCTCCAGGGGTGGGGATGGATCTGTCGTGGCCTCAGCTGACATAGCCTCCTACAGAAAAGAGAAAGACAGTTAGTTTTTGTTTTTAGTTTGTTTTTAAAGAAGAAAAAAGATGCAGCCTGGGAAATCCTCCCGGCAAATTTATTTCCAATGTTATTTGGCTAAATGTCTCCCTGCAGCTCTGCCATTATCACCTCCCCCCTTTATATGAGTCCTCTGCAAGAAAAAACTGGGTTCATTCCATAAGACAGGGGCTTTTTGTCGCCGATCGAGCAAGATGCCTTCCAGACTGAGGAAGACAAGGAAACTAAGGGGGCATGTCAGTCATGGCCATTGGTAAACACAGGAAACATCCTGGAGGCCGTGGAAATGCTGGTGGTATGCACCACCATAGGATTAACTTTGACAAATACCACCCTGGTTATTTTGGAAAGGTTGGTATGAGACATTACCACTTGAAAAAGAACCAGCACTTCTGCCCGACAGTGAATCTGGATAAGCTCTGGACGCTTGTTAGTGAGCAGACAAGGCTGAATTATGCTAAAAATCAAGCAGGACTAGCTCCAGTTATTGATGTTGTACGCTCTGGGTATTACAAAGTCCTGGGTAAACGAAAGCTGCCCAAGCAGCCTGTCATTGTGAAAGCAAAATTCTTCAGCAGAAGAGCAGAAGAGAAAATAAAGGAAGTTGGAGGAGCCTGTGTCCTAGTGGCATAAATGTTTATATATGTATGCATACTAAATCACAGGCATGAATAAACTATTTCCATAAGACAGGGAGCAGTAATGGATACCATTCAAGCTTACAGGATCTGTTTTATACTTTACTAACTGGAACCAAATAGGAAGTACAGGCAGTCCTCAACTTATGACCAAAATTGAGCCCAAAATTTCTGTTGCTAAGTGAGACATTTGTTAAGTGAATTTTGCCCAATTTTATGACCTGTCTTGCCACAGTTGTTAAGTGAATCACTGCACATTAAATTAGTAGCACGGTTGTTAAGTGAATCTGGATTCCCCTTTGACTTTGCTTGTGAGAAGGTTGCAAAAAGTGATCGCATGACCCTGGGACATGGCAACGGTCATAAGTATGAGTCAGTTGCCAAGCATTTGAATTTTGATCACATGACCACGGGGGATGCTGTAATGGTCGTGTGAAAAGCGGTGACGTCACTTTTTCCAGTGATGTTGTAACTTCGAATGGTCACTAAACGAACTGTTGTAAGTCGAGGACTACCTGTAATCCCTTTTCCTAAGAGTTCACAAACAGAATGATTGAGGTGATACATCATACTAAGCCATATAGTGACTTGTTTGTTTGACATTGGGTAAAACCAACCAAGTGATGTTTAGTCACCATATCTAAACTTGAGGCATAGCAGAGATGTATTAGATCAGACATAAACTCAAACAAAGACTAGCGATCAGTACCAGAACCTACCCCACCAACCTTTTCACACACAAATCCCATTGTCGCTCTCCCTCCCCCAGCACTCCCCCCTCCCCCAGGAACCTAACTGAAAGGAACTGTCTGTAGGTTTCAAGAGTGATTGAGCCACCTTCTCACCCAAAGCTCTTGCCCTCCAGAGATGCTGGCACTGAATGGCCTCAATCCATCCAGCTACACTGTTTGTCAGACATTACAGGAGTTGGTCCAGAGAGCACCAATCAGGGGGGGGAGAGATATTAGAAGATGGGATCCACCTAGAGATCTAGCACATCCCAACCTACCTTCTGCCTTCTGCGTGACACTCCACACACCTGGCACTGCTAATGGGAAACAATGGGTTTGCCTTCAACTTTGCGCTAACTGCTCTTTGCCCCAACAAACATCCCTGCCCAGCGGGATCATTTCCTTGTACTGCCTGGCTCCACCCTGCTTGCCCCACCCCAGCCCTTGTACTCTCCAGATGTTACTGTATTCATTTTCGTGCCTGCCCAACCACCAGGCTGTCTTTATTCACTCTTGCATTATTTATTATTACTATTATTGATTTTCTTGAGTAACTGCTCTGGGATCTTGGGGTGTGCCAAGCCTGTGAGAAAAGCAGAATATTAATATATAACGGAAATAAGTGACAGCATCGGCTATGAACAAGTCCATTTTCTAAGTCTAACCCTATTTAAATCCTCTGAGCTCCAGGATCTCCACTGGCCCCACAACAGCTTGCTTCTCCTATGGGGGCTTCCTTTCCACTCAGGGCGACAAATCTTGAGTGCAATTCCCGGGCCATCGCTAGATGGCAGCAAACGATTGAGGTTCTTTATACTCCTTTGCTGCCATCTAGTGGTAGTTCCGGTTTCTGCAGCCCAGATCCGGTATCCTTTTCCCGCCGCACTCCGACCTCTCCCACCCACCACCTGATCCACTCACCTCCCCCAGGGCACCAAGGGTGGGCTCAAGCCAGGCCCCTCCCCTTCAGCCCCGCCTGGACTCCGGGGTAGCAGCTCCGCAGGATGCCTCAACCCAAGAGAAAGAGGAACGGAGGGCGACAGTGCGCATGCTCACAAACGCCCCATCGCGCCCCTCCCCGTGGAACAGTTACTCTATACATCCGGGTACCGCCTGCTTAAACGAGACAGAGGCGGGTTGACTTTCTTTCCTTCACCCTGCCGCGGGTGGCTATACAGCTGCGCCTGCGCACAAAGTGAAATCGCGTCCGCAGTGAAGGGTCAAAAGGAGTGATGGAAGACTAAGTCAATCGAGGTTGCTGGGGAGCGCATGCGCAGGCGGCAGCTATGATCCGCACGTGGTATTAGCGCTATCAGAGGGGTGGGTGGGAACCTCTCGCTCCCCCCTCTGGGCATCCGGGCGGTGCCTCCACCGTCTCTTTCATTAGGCAACATGGAGGGGAGGGTCTAAATGTGACCCTGGACTGATTTTATAGGTTGTGTGACGCAAAAAGTCAACATTTGAGTAATTGTACTTGCGCACATAATTTTTGGTTTTTCCTTCTGACTTTAGTAAATTATGGCTGGGGCCACGCAGGACGAATTTAATGACCCCCCTCCCAGATTTAATTTAATCTGTGGAGGTCATTACATTTTGGGATGCCTACACATCTGTATTTTGTGTGATCCAGATTATGAGTATATTAGTTAATACAAATTTTGTGAAGCCAATTATTTAGGCTGAGGGCAAGAGATTGCTGTAAAACTTGAGCTCAAGAGAATACTCTTGGAAACCGTTCCCAGACCTGTATTATTTCTGTGCTACATAAAAAAATATTGTGGCATCTTAAAGATGTTATTTCTGTTGACTTAGTCTGCTACATGTGTGAAGTATTATGACATTTGTGTTTCCTTTTTAAGATGTCACAAGACTTGTGATTGTACAATATGGCACAGGGAGCCCTCGACATATGATCACAATTGAGAAGTTTCCATTGCTAAGTAAGGTGGTTCTTAAGCGAATCATGCTTAATTTTACCTTTTTTGCCATGGTTAAGTGAATCACTGCAATTGTTAAGTGAATCTGACCTCCCCCATTGACTTTGCTTGTCAGTTAGAAACAGCAGGACCTGATACTGGAAAGTGATTACAGTAATCCATTTTCCTCTAAAACAGGTGTGTCCACCCAGCCTTTTGGCTTGCATGGGCCACATTGAGTGAAGAGGCATTGTTTTGGGCCACATACAAAATAAAGTTAATGTATATAGTGTATATATGTATGTGTATAAATAATGTTAAAAGTTTACAATCTTGTGGGACCGCATTACTAACTATCCAGGGCTGCATGTTGCCCACTGGTTGGACGCTCCTGCTCTAAAGACAAAGGAATGATTTGGGGGATTATAGAACAAATCTTTTAGAACAGGGGTCCCCAACCCCCGGTCCATGGACCAGTAGTGGGCTGTGGCATGCCAGCAACCGGTCCACACAAACAAGCAAAGCCCCATTTGCAGGATGCAGGCAGCACATAAAACCACGCATTCTCCGGTCCGTGAAAAAACCTTTCTCCACAGAACCGGTCCCTGGTGCCCAAAAGGTTGAGGATCTGTTTTAGGAAGCAAGATACAGGATGCAGGAGAAATGGGGTGACAGAAAGAAAAAAACCCACATGTCCTCCCTCTACCCCTTTAGGTTGCATTCTCAGTAGGTTATAAGTAAAAAATATATAGCCTGAACAGAAAAATGTTTCCTTGTTCCTGATTTCATAGATGAGCAATATGCAGGAGGAACATTTACATAAATGTTACTGGATTAGGTCAAAGGCTAACACTGTTTCTGCAGCAAACAAGAAAATGCTTCCTCAGAGTAAGAATAATAAGCTTCCTTCCTTCCCCAACAGCTGACCTAGTACCTCTACTAAGAACATTCGTAGATGCCATTATAAATTAATGATTCCTACTTCTTTAGCATCCCTTTTCCTTATTTCCCAACTGATTGATACTTTAGTTTAGCGCAATGAGGTCATCAGTGGAAGGGCTTGATTTGTGGAAAGAAACAAAGAGAACTTGGTTGGAAAATACCACTTTAAAGAAACTGATGACCAGACGAAAAGCAATGGTTGGGACACGTCCGGTACCAAATTGACTACCACAAATATTCATGTCACACAGAAATTAAATTTCAAGTCTAGAGCATCTCACTGGATCAGAGGTATGCTTTATATCAAGAGCAATAGCACGCATCTGTTTCCCTTTGGGCGTTACCATATTTAGAGCAGAAACACTAAGAGCTACTATAATTCAAATCTCAGAAATATGTATCCCTACCTATTTCATTACAACCCTGCCAACCATGTTTTGCGAACTTGGAAGGGGGGCTGGTAGAAATATGTAATCAAGAATCACAAATGTTCAATCCATTGAGACCACTTGGTATTCCTTTGCTTTAGCACAGGTCCCCAACCTTTTGGGCACCAGGGACCAGTTCCGTGGAGAGAGGTTTTCCTGCGGACCGGAGGGGGCGTGGTTTGGTGTGCTGCCTGCATCCTGTGGATGGGGCTTTTCTTGTTTGTGCAGACCGGTTGCTGGCATGCCGCGGCCAGTCCTGGTCCATGGACCGGGGGTTGGGGACCCCTGCTTTAGCAGGTTAATAAACACCACACGTGCATTTTAAGAGGCTAAGTATTTCTGGTGAGAATACAAATGTTTTGTGTCTGTTCTCATACATTACCCATAATACTTTTGTCAAGATTCTTTCAGATTAGATTAATAAAGCCTCACTCGATTTTTCATGACTGTGCTCTGTAAAGATCTTAAACAGGAAGCATCATTTGTGTCAAGAATTTACTGGTGTGTAGAACTGGCTTCATGTCCAGTTGTCTTTGAAAAGCACGTTTGGGACAACCATGACCTGGATGACTGAGAGTCTCCATAGACATTTGGCTTCATAGGGGTTACTAGTCAACTCGTTTGAAAATAATTTGTACTGATTTCTGTGAGTCCAAAGCATACCACCCACAGCAGAAAATCCAGGATCAACTGTTATTCTTGACCATTAGCAATGAGGGGACATATTCCAAATTTATCATCTACAAAACCTAGTTAACTGAGCAAATGCTTTTTAAAACACAAAATAATCATTGTAAGATGGTTACACCCAAATTTTAATATAGGATGGAAAATGTATACAGACCTTTGTAATAATATTCCAAATTAGCTTAAAATCAGAATTTTTGACAAAGACCAAGGAAACTGAAAAAAGGAAATGGTTTGAGACAACACTGTCCAAAATTTAAAAACTAATAATTTTCCCTTATTCTCCACTAAAAATACTCCCATCTCCTTTACGTTTTTATTTATTTATTTATTTATTAAATTTATATACCGCCCTATCTCCCTTGCAGGACTCAGGGCGGTGAACAGGCGATACTAAAAACCACGATAATAAATAAATAGTTTGTTTTAAAATCGAATTAAATAACAGGCCTGTTCTAAAAACACACCCGTAAAAAACCCCCCACTGAAACATAATCAAACTACGCCAGGCCGG